CAACTCCCAGAATTCCCCAGCCAGCATTCTGGGAGTTGAAGTCCACACATCTTCAAGTTGCTAAGGTTGAGAAACACTGCCTTAATAGATAGTCACTTTATCTGCCATGAAATGGTAATCATGGATGGCCAAAGTCTACCTGTGTTCTGTACCTACGTACCTTCATGACTCTGGAGATTTTGTATTTAACTCAACATTGGACACTGGGAGAAAAAAATCATACTTTTGAACTACTGTGTAACATAGCTCTGATATGGTTTTCTACAGGGAGCTCAAGGACAGAAAGGAGTCAAAGGCAGCAAAGGTGATAAGGTAATATTTTCTTAATAAAGTAGCAAGAAACTTTCTACAAGCCAGGAGTGATATTTTTTTCTTGTTTAGTTCTGGAGGCCATAGTGGGCAGGACTGGTTTTGTCCAAATTAATTGGGAGGGATTTTTTTTTTCTCCCCTTCAATTTTATTCCATTTTGAAAGTTTCTTCTGAGGAGTAAACAGTAAACAGTTGTGTTGTGGGTTTTGTTTTTTTTTCCCAACTAAAAAGGGCAGAAAACCACATTAATGTATTTTGGCATCCCAGTTAGAAGGACTCGAGTGACCTGTTATGTTGTCTGCCCCTGTAACAGAACATAAGTGGTTCTTAACACAACTTGTTGCATTACTACCTTCAATATGGTATTATTGTTTAGGAAACTCTACATTAAGCACATCTCTCCTAACACAGGAACTCAAAAGTTGCAGTGGAATTAAAAATTCCACACCTCATATAAATCTCCATTACTCTGTCCGTATGTGACTGTTCACATTACTTCTAATCTCATATATTTTATGTTGTTAAAAATAACATAAGGCTAAAACAATTTAGTTTTAAACAAAGAGTAAAAATAATTGTACACTCAGTATCTGTGGCTTTGTTTTAGAGAAGAGCATTGAAAAAAGGATTATAGGTTCATTTTTATTGTCCTGTGGTTTTCAAGATATAAACTTGAAAATATTTTTGAATAATTTAATACTATAGAATTTTAAATCTGATGAGGGGTGGAGCATATATATCTGTTACATTTCTGGAGTTTAAAATGTTCCTTTAACTATTTTAAAATGTATCTGCCCTGGACCTTCAAGGAGAAAGATTGAATTAAAGTATGCTATGGATGTGTTGAGATCTGTCACCCCATTGATTGCCAGGGTTCACACAGCTGATCTGGCTGGCTAGACGCATGTCCCCTTCCTCCCAAAGCTGCACATAAAGCTGCACAGAGGAAGAGGATGACCATCCCAGATAGGAGTGTACTAATCTTTGGTCAAGAGTATTCAAATGGTAATGAGTTGGGCTTTATGTAGTACTTCTGTTTGTCAGCAGTCTTAAGAGTTGGATAGTAGAAAGCAAGTCTATAAATATTTTGAATAAATGTGATTTTTCTGGGAATTCATATAAGAGTACATAAATGATACCTAACAAACATTGCATCATAATTACTCTGAAAAATTCAGACTTGCCAGAAACCTGTTTCTGAATTCTGGGACTTGCAGTCCACACATCTTCAAGTTGTCATGTTTGAAAAACACTGCTCCATAACATTGCTGATCAGGAAGGCTGTATCTGAAAAATCTCTTTTGTCTCTGAATGACTAACTCTTAAAAACCAAGGATCTCTTTTCAAGAAACAGAAATAATGTTATAACTATGCAGGGCCAAAGTCTAAGGCCAACCAGCAAGGTGTTCAAATTACCAGCAAGAATTGACAGATATGGTGTAGTCAGATGAACAAACACATTATTACAGATGTTCATTTTATGATTTCAATGTTTAAAACTGCACTAGCCTTTTCTATGACAAAATTATGGTTATTTTCAAGTACAGATGTTAAACAGTACAACAGATGCAAAGTCTATTTTGTTCTTTCTTTCATGATGGAGGTTTGATTTATGTGAGTTTAAAATACAAAAACACATATTCACAGTGTATACATTGAGATCAATATTGGCAAAGCTATTTTTGCTCCAGTGTATTAAAGATGTAGTTTTAAGACAAAGCCAGGAGTTGAGGTAAGAATAGGGAAGATAAATGAGTAAATCTAATTGAAGAAATGCACATTTAAAGGGAGTTGTCAGGGTTTCAAATTACATCACTTCAAGCATGTTTCCAGGATGGACAGTCATAGAGACAAAATCAGGGACAGAAAGAATTAGCATAATGGGTGAAAAATGGCAAGGTTACAAAACCAATATACAATGAATTAAGATATATCTACGTTTAAAAGTTTCATTTATCCATGTTCATTAAGAAAACAGCACAACTGATTTGATTTAAATCCATGCAAATAATTACTGCACCCAGAATTGGTTAAATATAACTATAATTGTCTCTGTCCTTATATTGTTCTAATAGATTACATGGTATATTATATACCGCATAATGTATTTTAAAAGTAGAACATCACAAATATTAGTAGAGAGACAGATTTCCAACTTGCTTTATGCTAACTAAAATTGTGACTCATTCTTTTTTGTCTCCTTGTCATTTTATTGTTTTAGTAAGTTTAACTGTGATATGTCGTTTTGTATTGGTTGATTATGGGGTTTTTTTCTTCTTTTCTTTTTGTGTGCTGCCCAGAGTCACATGGTCTGAGTTGGGTGGCCTGTAATGCTTTATAAATAAATAAACAAGTCCATGACCAAACTCCCAAAGGTATTAATTAAAGGATAGCTCATTTTTTTGCTCAATTTTGTCTTTGCAGGGATACATAGGTTTCCCTGGAATGTTGGGGCAAAAGGTAGGTACATCAGGAATGCACATGTGTTGGAGTTAATATTTCAAAGGGGTTTGAAGAGATAATTTACTCAGAACTAAGATTCTTTGTCTTCAGTTGGACTTAATACTAGATAAATATAGGTAAAATTGCACTGTTCATTCCCAACTGAAATGTGTCTTGCCACTATGGATAGTCAGTCAGAAGCATAGATTCCCTTCAGTCTTTTTCCCCCCAACAAGGCAAGTAAACTGTTGGTAGCCATTGTAAGATACCTGTTGGGTATTTTGAGTTGAAACATGTTGAATCAAGTTTAAAGAAGTTTCCAAAGCAAAATCTGTGGAATGCATTAGGCTGCTTCTGATTAGGTTAATGTAGTGTTTCTCAGCCTCAGCAACTTTAAGATGTATGGACTTCCACTCCCAGAATTTTCCAACCAGCATACTGGCTGGGGAATTCTGGGAGTTGAAGTCCACACATGTTAAAGTTACTGAGGTTGAGAAACACTGGGTTAATGGTTCAAAAGAATGGGATCCATACACATCTCAGCAATTCAGTTCCAGGTAAAAATGTGAAGTTGGAATAACTTTTAAAGAGCTAAGAGTACAACCTACTGGGAAATTCACAATTCTTGCAATTAAATAACATGAACTGTCATGCTCTTTCATTTGGTCTTGTAGCTAGCAGATTTTTGCCATGACTATTATTGATTGATTGAATTTGTATGCTGCCCATCTCAATTGTAAAGACCATATATTCTTTTACTGAATAGAAATCCATGAATATTTTTCAGGGTGGTTTCACAGTAGTCAATCATATGAAGGAGAAAAAGTAGATTCATCTGAGTGGTTCTAGAAAAAGGAAGGCTTTTAGTTATGTTGCTGCCGTTGCTCATTGTTTCATTCCTAATTTGATGTTCAAGTAGTGTTACTTTCTCTGTCCTAAGAGAAAGGTTGTAACTCCCTTTGGAATCCACATGCTGCTAGTGGGCAGGGCTGAAGCAAGTGCCCTCATGTAGCCTTGTTCATCCATTTCTCACCCTCTCCTTTTCCCTTTCTCCCTTCCCATGTTCATAAATTTGGGCTGAAGGCTATCTGAAGGAAGGCAAAGGCTCTCTATGACCTAAAGACCTAAGCTTGTCCAGTTCTGGTTTGTTTAGTTGTCAGAACCCTTTCTATAACAGGATAGAAAGCTTGGCAACATCTCGGGAGCAGTTTGAGTTCACATTTATTTGGGCTGATGGTTAACACCCAGGTGTGGCCAGTTTTCTATTCCTGTAAGAGAGTGCAGCTGGCAAAATATCTGTGGTTCAGAATAAGATGCAAGCACTGGATTGTGGCTTCAATGACCAAGGAAAAAAGAAAGAGAATGAAGCTTTGTATTGTTTTTAGTGTGCTTATGGTGTCATTCTCAAGCTTTTTCCAGATGGATGAAGTTATAGTCCAGTACTCACATCATGCTAAATTTGCTAAATGAAACTTAGGCGGTTCATTAGCAGAACCCATTCATAAAAGGAGTCAGTAGAAGCACATAGGTGGGTTTACAACTTAACAGTAAGTCTCAGCATATGTGATGGTCATTATTTACTTCTTGAGAGTTCTATAACATTCCCCCCAACATTTTAGGATACAACTTACTGAGTTGTCTTTCAAGGAAATGGCGCTTGGGGAAAATGTACTTTAGTTAATATTATTTACACAAATGTTTAGAATGATCTCTCTTTGGCATGTGTGTGAGTGTTTGCAGAGCTTTGAGGAAGACAGTTTCTTAACCAAGTGTGTTTCTTTGCACTAAAGATTTGGGTTTTATCCTTTCCATTCTCATAAAGGGAGAAATGGGTCCAAAGGGAGAACCAGGTGCAACAGGACACAGAGGACCGACTGGACGGCCAGGGAAACGAGGCAAACAAGTAGGAATCCTGTACTGTATTTTGTTTTATTTTATTTTCATCCTGACTTCCCTAATATATATTTAATTTTGTTTGTAACTCTAGATACTTTGTTTTTGTTTCTATCAAAACCTTTTTTATGATAACCTAAAAGCCTTGAATATGCTTCTGATGGCAGAAACCAACTTTATTTTCAGGTCCAGGGTGGAAACAAGTTTAATTTAAACTAAATCTCATTTGATTTTTTGCTGTCTCGTACATTTCTTGTCCCAGTTGTTCAGACTGGTTTTTGTTTTTGTTTTGATGTATGGCTCCTAGTATGCTATGTGAAGACTTTCCTCACTGCTGAGTTGATGTGTTCTCCACTCACCATTGTCATCAGAAAACTATGCTGGCATTCAATTTGTTGTCCCCAAGGCCGATCACTATCCTACCCCTCATGTCTCTGTCTCTCCAAGATAATAGGTACCTCAAGGCTACCCTTGCACAGTGTCAAAATAAGGGGGTAAAAGGCTGCTTTAACACCAGTGCAGCTAAGAACAACTTAAACCTGTCTTCCTCATGGGCTGGGGAACAAGTTGAAGGCAATGCATCATGGGGATACAGCAGCACAAAGATTTTGTCCGAGTACCTTTATAACATAGCTGGATGCAAGCAGAAAAATCCTTAGATAGGTTGTACAGCCTTCCTTTAGAATAAGCCATCCCAAATCACTGGATTTTTAAAAAATAATATTTTTTTGATTATGGTTAACTTGAATCTCAATTGTTTCTCAGAATTTTTTTTTTCTTTTTACTACTGCTGCTACTACCATTGCTACTGTTCTTATTTGTGTTATTAAACACATCTCATGTTCACAGTCATCATAGATTTAACCCCTGGTTTCTTGAAATTAAATGTTATTTTGAAAGACCATTGGGAAGAAGCTGAGATGTGTACTTAAAGAGCTATTTGTTAAATAAGAGAGGCACTTCTCACCCACTGAGACATTTCCTGCCACCAAAGCCAGCTGATGTCCCCATATAAAATGCCAGTGGTGGCAGCTAAATTAAGAAGGTGTTACTTCCACTTCCATTCCGAGATGCATCTTGCTCATCTCATTGACTCCTTCAAGTTCAGGCTGAAAGTCTTCTCAGGTTAGTTGCACTAAGCCAGGATATATATAGGCCTAGTCTTGCAAGTGCCAGATTAACTCACAGCATCACAGGCACAGCCTCACACGACACAGACTCTGTTCCAGTTGCCACAGTCTTAGGAATTCGATTGCTGCTAGTGGAAAATGTCTTGAGAATGAATATTTTTTGTGGAAAAATATCTCTCTAGATCTAGAATCTGTTTTCAGACCTGCAGCCACCACCCTTTTTCTGCTGCTTTCTCTCCGCTTTTCCAATTTCTTCTTTTCCTGGCTCTCTCAGTTTATTAATTGTATTGAATATTGGTATTGGATGTTGGCAGCAACTTTAAGCTTCCTTGATGGAAGATAAAAGAAAGTTCACTATAAATGTTTTAAATAAATTAGTCCCTCTATAATCTCTTCCACCACTGTTTTGCATTATCCACACTTCCCTTGACTCATGCACTTTTTTCCCCCCTTTCCTTTAAAAAGGATCAAAGCAAGCACAGCACATATTCCTGATACACTCTGGTCAACTCACAAACCAGCTTTATATACCAGCAGCCTATAGGACTGAATAAGGTTGTCCCTAATGACCCAGTTTAGTGCAATGGTTAAAGGCAGCAGGCTAGAAACCGAAAGACCGTGAGTTCTAGTCCCACCTAAGGCACAAAGCCAGCTGGGTGACCTTGGGCCAGTCAGTCTCTCTCAGCCCTAGGAAGCAGGCCATGGCAAACCACTTCCAAACTCTTGCCAAGAAAACGTCAGGGACTAATCTAGGCTATTGCCAGGAGTCAAAACTGACTCAAAGGTGCTCATACGCACGGGCACCCACATATCACATCTAGAAAAAGTGGTGTTTACCCTGATACTGTACAGTGCCATTGCTGTGGGAGGATATGAAATAAAGCAAGAAATGCTGAGAGCTATAAATCTTAGCCACCAGTTGGAACTAATGGCATTAAGCAAGGACCCTAGGCAGTGTGTTCCCTCAGCATTTCTTCCATTAAAAGCTTGCGTGCCAGCAACATAATGATTTATCTCCAAGTGGTTTTTCAAAAAGCTGCCTAGGTCATCCATAGTAATCTTCTTTTGTTAGATAGGATTATTCTTTCCCAAGATCTGCTCTATCTGCAATGATAAATTGCTTCAAGTGAAAGGTAAAAAGTCCCTTGGGTCAAACCCAACTCCGGATGGCTTTGGTTTCTATTGCCACCTTCCTGGCTTTTTGTCCTTCCAGTCTTACTTATACTCCTGGGAGTTTCAGATAGCCTCCTATCTAAATAGGAGCCCTGTCTGCCCCTGCTTAGCTTCTCAAAATCAGCCAAACTCAGGTTGGCACCCGTAAATCATGTATTTGTAAATTAATTTTCTCTAGGAAGGAATGGGTTTGACAAAATGATGCTCCTACAGCCACGTAAACGTTTTTTGTCTTGGATAAATTGCCCATTCAATGGAAAATGCAGAATAGAGGAATAAAGAGGATTTTTTGGCAGTAAATAAATGCATATTTTATTCAGATAGGTACATGGATACACATAGGGGGCATGAGGAGTTGTGGGTTGATTTCACTGGCTTCATTTCAAATAACAGCCTACTTTGGAATATCAAACTATATCTGAAAAGGCAAAAGTATTTTATTACTTGGATTAGCATGCGTGTTAAACTTATGACTTAAGTCAGTGTTTTTCAAACTTGGCAACTGTAAGATATACGGACTTCAACTCCCAGAATTCCCCAGCCAGCATGCTGGCTGGGGAATTCTGGGAGTTAAAGTCACATCTTCAAGTTGCCAAGTTTGACAAACACTGCTTAAGACTTTGTAATTTCCTTTATGTTACAGATTATAGTAATGTGTAAGGAAATATTTATAAAATAGCCTTTTTTTAGGGACAAAAAGGAGATATAGGACCCCCTGGAAGTACAGGCCCACCAGGTAGGCCTGGTTCTCCTGGAGCATCGGATCCACCAGGACAGTTAGTATCAGGTAAGACTGGCCTTTCTTAATAGATGCTCCTCTGTTCTAATTTTAATAATGTAATTATGCTAAACAGAATATATTCTTTGTTTCTTCAACCATTAGCTGAAGGAATTTTGTACTTTTAAGGTAGCATTTTAGGGGTCAGTAGACTCTGGGGGATATAGGTGGAACTCAATAAGCATGTTGCCATGGCTAAAATCACAGGACACGTTTCCTCCCTTCCTTCATAATCATATTCTGGAAGGCATTCAGTGACAGGAAAGGCAGAATAGGATTATCCTTTGTCTCTTTGAAACTATGATAAGTGTGGAATTGATGGTTGATATATCATGTGAGAGAGATAAGGAACAGATTGTTCCCCTTCCTGCCTGAACTAGATAAGGGAAACTTACAGAGATTTCAGTCACTGTGCAATCTTTCTTCTCATATTCAAGATTGTTGATAGAATCATCCATCTTTCTGGTAGGTGACATTAATGTAAAGTTATGTAGGACTTAAGGGTTTATTACTAACATCTAAATAAAGGTGATACTAGTATTTTAGCATGGCTTCTAAACAAAACTTCTTTTGAAGTTTAGGAAATTATGTTTTTCCTTTGAGCCAGAGCCATTTCCTTTGATGTGCAAAAACTAGCCTCTTCAGGGACAGTGATGAGAGCGATCAAACAATAGGACTGTATTCTGAAGTCCTTGATCAAAGCTATAAGTGTTAAGAAAGAAACAAACCTGAGTAGGAAAGGAGGAGGTGCAACATATTTTATCTAAAGATGTCTGTCTTTTCTCATGTCTAACAAAAGCAAACAAAGCCTTTATTGCACATCAGTTACCTTTATTGTTTGATTAGTCGCTTTCTGATACACCTATCATATGAACATATGGAATGTATGTACTGTACCCTATATAAAGGCTTGACCCACCTTAATAAATGCTTTTTTGTTTTGCCTGAAATAATTGTGGTTTGTATTGTTGGGCAGCGAAAAAACCACTTTGCAAAGGAATTGGGTGTTTCTCTCTCAAGTTGAGGGCCTAGGTTCTTTCCAGCTCCATGCCAACTTGGGTGCCCATGTTTTGGGGCAACAGCTGCAGCCCATGAAAAGTTTAGGATGAATGAAACAATGGCTAAAAACAGCTCAACTAGAGCTCCTTAGAACAGGAAGACCAGCAGTATATTGAAAAGGGCATTATTTGTTTATTTATTTATTAAATTTATGTAGCCACCCATCTCACTTTTATGTGACTCCAGGTGGTTTACAGTAGAATAAATAAAATACATAAAATACACAATATAAAAAATTAGAAAATAAAAATAAAACACAGCAGAGCAGTGGTGTCACAGTTCATTAGAGAAAGGAAAAGTCACTCATTATTTACAACACTTGCGTTATAAATATTGGTGGTTTAGATGGCAGCAAAGGCTCAGTTTGCTTTTTCTAGTATGTCTCTGTCTATTTCAGAACTTCCTAGTTTGGCAATCTGATATTTTCTAGGGCAAATAATGGGGCCAAAAGGGGAAAGAGGGCTCCCAGGACCTCCAGGGAAATGTCTCTGCAACTCTCAACAAAATGTGAATGGCCCACCATATGAGGAACCACTGCTTGGAGAGGCCTATTCCAAAGTACCTGCAGTAAGTGAGTTTGATAGGAGTTATGATGGGCATATTATATAATTGAAGTATGACAGGATTGCTTGGTTGATGAACTGGGATTGCTATGAATATATATGAGAATTTGATATTGAAACCAGATAAATTGACCAAAATAAGCTGAATGCTTTTACATTGTCACTCTTGAGACATACAGATAGACCTTGCTTACTGACCACCTCATTTAGCAACCATTTGAAGTTATGACAGTGTAAAAAAAAGCTTTGCGACCAATCCTCGCATGTACTGTATAACCGTCATAGCATCCTATAGTCATGTGATTGCCATTTGTGTGCTTCTCAACCAGCTTGTGACAAGCAGAGTTAACAGAAAACACAGAAGGAAAATCATAAGTCACGGTGATGTGATATCTCACTTAACAATTGCGCTGACTCACTTAACGACCAAATGGGAAGTGACTTTGTAAGTCCATTGTAGTCACATGATTTTCTGCCTAGCAATGGAGTTGCTGGTTCCAATTATGGTTGCTAAGTGAGGACTACCTGTACTTAGTTCTGGCAATTATTGGGTTAGCAATGTCATGCTATGTTAATGAAAATATTAACATTTCAAGTATCATTAAATTGTACACTTGCTCTAAATTCCTATACTTTTGTCTATGATTGGAGGAGTATAATCCCATGTTCACTTTTTATATATATTTTTCCCTTTATAGGGTATAAGCAAATATTACCCATTTACCCATTTTACATATTCTTCATATTTCTCTTCCAATCCATTTTTCTTGTAAAAATTATTACATGTATAATGAGATTACTTTTTCTGCCTTTAATTACAGAGGGGCAAGCATTTTAAATATTATTTAATGATTAGACTACACAGTGCTTTCAAATTCATAACATCTTTTGTGAGGAGGAGGTCAGCTGAAAAGGTCCAAACACTGATCCCAAGCCATTCAGATTTGGAATCAGGAACCTATTACTCTACAGGAAATATTATGGTGATCTAGTCTCCCTCCTTTTTGTTTCTATTTTTAACTTCCAGATTTTTGTAGTGAATAATCAGGAAGACCTGGACAGATTAAACACAGAAAATGCTCTAGCATTTCGAAGAGATCAGCGATCTTTATATTTTAAAGATACTTCTGGATGGTTTCCAATCCAGGTAAAAAGAAGAAGAAATAGTGCAACTTTGAAAGCACTTGATCTCCTGATCACTAAAATGGTTGTATTTTTAAAAGGTATACATTTAAGTGATTTTTGCATATGATGTAAGATACCAATTATTTTTAGCAGTAAGATACCAATTATTTTTTGTTAAATGCATTTCAGGAAATTCTGGTATCACAATTTGGGCATTTGTAAGATGAGGTCCAGAATGTCTTTTAGATTGTCTGTAATATTATATTTCTTTTAAAAATTAACCTTGGTTTTGTTGTCTATTAGTTTATTTAAGAGTGCTTTATTGCTCTTTTGTAAATTATTCTGGACTACTCCAAGAGGAAGACTAGCATAGAAATAAAATACATAAATAATATCAGTATCTTGGGCACACTGGAATTTAGGCTGCAGCCTTACTTGGGAATAAACACCATTGAATTTGGATCTGATTTTACTCCTACCTACAGAAAAAAATGTTGCAATCAGTACATATATGCATAACCACAACAGTAGTCTCTTTTGAGGTAGCAATGAGATGTGAAGTGCAGGACAGAGTAAGAAATAGTAAGCAATAGACATTGGACAGACAATGAAAAGAAAGGGAGGAAGGAAGAAAAGAAAAGGAATAATAGCCCCTAAAAGGAATGCTAGTTTATACCTACTGCACTCACTATACCTCCCCATACTTTCCTGTCCTTGCAAAACATCTTTGCTTTCACCATGGCCTTGCACAGCTTCACACATTGCCTTTTCTTCTTAAACAGAAATCAATGGACTTTAAGTAATTATAACTAACATGTTGTTGGAGTTCAGTTGGTCTGATTGATTGATTAAGCCTGGATCCAACAACATAACATTGCACGACAAGCATTGCTGTTCTGCAAATCTACATCCTATAGTTGTAGCATGAACCACAAGTATAGTTTAGTGGTTAAAGTCTTGATCTAGGATAGTCAAGGGAGGACCAGGTTCTAATCTACCCACAGCCATGGTAACACTCTGGGTGACTCTCAGGTGCTCTCTACTTCATGGGGTTATTGTCAGGATGAAATGAAGGGAGTCTGAGTTCCTGAAAGAAAGGCAGCATATACATCTAACAACAACAACCCCTCCTTCTGCGCAACCCGAATAAAAATCATTGACATCTAGCACCAATTTTCAATTCATAATATTACATAAGCACAGGTAAGATACAAAGTGGAAGACTGTATTTCCCCAGTCAGCCCATGCCCAACATATTTTATTTATTTTACTTTATTTTGTTTGTTTGTATATTAATTACATGAGTTTGCATGCCACTCAATTCATCGTAAAGTCTAGGCAACTTATAACCAGCATATAACCAGTAACATCATGTCTGTATTTGTCTTTAGATGTCATGCTTTGGATAATGTGGTTCATGAAAAAAGTAAAGCTTTAAAAACACACTCCTTCAAATGCACACCACGACTTACATTCTGCTTTGGATGTACATTTTTATCACAGATTCCCAAATATAACTGATCTAGGATTCCCAGGAATTCACCTAGTCGAATACTTCAGAATACTGGTTTAAAAAAGAATCCAGTAAAAAGTAAAAGGAATATATGTTTTACAGCCACAACATGTCTCCAATTTCTATTTTTCCAAATCAGTAAGGACAGTATTGGTTACAGCTCATTTTATCGGAAGGAATGGTGTAACTACTCTCTTCAGACTAATGCATTTTATTAAAAGGCATCAGCTTTCGTGAGTTACAGCTCACTACATCTCACAAAAGCTGCTACCAAACTCCTGATTTTTGGCTACCGTAGACTAACACAGCCCTCTTTCTACAATGAGCGCAGTTCTGTAACTCTTCTTCTATGTCAGCAGCTAAAGCCTTCCTATCCACTGGATCATCTGATAGGAGATAGTAACATCTGTGGAGATGGCGTCATCCAAGATGGAGAAGAATGTGATGATGGCAATACCATTGTGACTGATGATTGTATAAGTATGTTCAGTCCATTCATTTCTCAGTTGCTTATTTTAGCTTATACATAAAATATTGGAAAATAAACAGTGCACTGTTCTACATGATGCTTGCTAACTAGTGACAGGATTCATCGTAATGCAATTATAATTCAAATATAAAATACAGTTTCTATGTAAAATATTTATATTTTAGTATAATAAGTTGGAAGTAGACCTTTGTAGGGTTGCAGGTTATCTTGAAAACCAACAAGCACTTCCTTTTTCTCACAGTACTAATTCCTTACAGTGAAGACTGAAAACAGATTAGTTAGCAGGTCACAATTAGTTGATATTCATGTGATCAAAAAAAAAAAAAGGAGTGAAAAAGAACTAATCTTTATCTGTATTTCACCAGGTTGTAAGAAATTGATATTTAACTTCTGAATAGATTGAGTTTTGTGAAAACCAGCCAGTGCCAGATGGGTTAGTTATGGCTAGGTTACAAAGACATGCTTCTTGTTGCTAACTGAACCACAGTTAATTTAGCTCAATTTTCTGGATGTGTACAACACACGGAACCATAAATTAATGGCACTGCCAATTCACAAAATATACTGGGGTAAAATGTGGTTGGCTAGTTTGTGATCATGTGCTGATCACAAACATGATTAATCATTAACTCATTTTCTGGTGTCATACAACTTCCTGATCCATAAGGTATTCATCCCATGTATGGGCTGGGTCCGCACAATGTGGGAAGACGCACAAAAAATAATAACCACATTTAAAACTAGCCAAGCATTTTGTGCTCCTGCAGGCACAAGATCTTCAACTAGCATCATTAAGTGACTTGTGTAAACGTAGTGAATGAGTAACATGGAAAAAAAAAATCATGATTTCCTTCAACTTGCTAATAGCTAAGCAGGGCAATTCAACCTTCTTTTGC